TGGAACTGCAAAAGATATATATATATATATATATATATATATATATATATATATATATATATAATGTGGATGTTGATAGCATATTTTTTTGTCTATGCTTGGCTGAGACCGTTGTCCCTCCACAGGAAACTCGGCCTAATCGTGAGAGGAATGAGGGGCTGCTCATGCACAGAGAGCAAGATCAAGGCAAAGACGGGATATTAGTGAGAATTAACCTCTAGGAGATCTGTTGTGACTGTCGGCAAACTCCATTGCTTTGATTGTTCGCCGCAACAACGGAGCTAATTCAAGCAAGAGTAACACTCTTTAAGATCATCATCAAACCACAGGAAATGACATCACCACTCAGTAGGCACAATATTGCTCCAAATGGAAGAATGGTGGGAACTGTTTCTGAAAGTAAACATATAAGACATTTGTATCAAGCTTGTCTAGCATCAGCCATCTGTTTTATTAAGAAGTCAATTAGAATGTATTTCCTTTCAGTGCAGGTTTTCTTTTGAATACACTGAAAGTGCAGCAAATATACATTTTTGCATCAAATGTGTGGCTCATTTCCCTGCTGTCCTTTGAAACTCACTCTGTAGAGTTTGAAAAGCAGGTTCATTCATTTGCATGTTTGAATGGACTTTCCGCATTTAGCGTGTTTAACTGCATTGTGTGTGTGTATAAGAGTGTTCATGGTGTATAAGTGAAGGAGCGTTATGTGGGGTCATGTCAGTGTTATGCATACCACAGCCTCCTGAGAAAACCGTCCTGGATACAAACTGCCAATGTGGATACCAAACCAATGCAAATAAATGCTAAATCAAACCAGCCCCATAGCACTGGTGCCAGAGCACCCCTAAATATGACAATCAATTTGCAAAGATTTAACGTATGCTAATACATTTTCATCTACACTACTGTTTAAAAGTTTGTGGGTTTTGAAAGAAGTCTATTATGCTCACCAAGGTTCCGTTTATTAGATTAAAAATATAGTAAAAATAGCCATTTTGTGAGATATTGTTACAACTTAAATAGTTTTCCGGGTCATTTCACGAAATCGGTGCCTTTTCCATTTTTTTTTCACTTTTTCAAAAATTAAAGATAAAATAAGTTTCATCAAGACTTTTTAAATATTCATGAAATGAAGACACCTTAAAATGACAAGAAATTGTATTGTGCCATCTCAGGCTATGTCATTTATTATTTTATGACTATTTTTCTACCTTATGTTTTGTTTTTTGTTTTTTCAACCCTGTTACAGATACAAGCGTTATTATATACTATAGTTTAATTAGAACTATGTGATAGTTTTCACATATATGAGCAGCATTTTAGTCCCTCTTTTCACTGGGATTGTTTCAAATTTTGGATTTTTATTTTTAATTTTATATATATATATATATTTTTTTTTTTTCTCATTCAGATGGCCAAGAACCTAATTTTGGAGGGTGACCACATGTCAATTAAAGGGGTCATATGACGTTGCTAAAAAAGAACATTATTTTGTGTATTTGGTTAAATGTGTTTATGCGGTTTAAGGTTCAAAAAACACATTATTTTCCACATACTGTACATTATTGTTTCTCCTCTATGCCCCGCCTTTCTGAAACGCGTCGATTTTTACAAAGCTCATCGGTCTGAAAAA